GGCTTTTATAAAGTTTTTATGGTAAAAACGACTTGGCAAAAATTCTTAGAAAGTATTCCTTGTTCTTTCTTCATGAATTTCTTGCCTGGCAACCAGTTGTGACTTACAGCTGAGTCTGGGACATAAGAACAGATATATTTCTCTCAGGAACCCGTCGGCTCCTCTTGAATAGTGAACAAATGCCAGTAACTAGCAATTTTCATTTTATTTCATGGTTCATGTGCATTGGTGCTATTCAGACACTAATTCAAATATATTAAAAGACTTACTCAACAGTTGGAAGTGGATGATTTCTTGGTGGCATTTCTCTAGCAACACCCAGCACCACAATTTCAAGGATATTCTTGCAATACCATTCCACTATACTGTGAGATACTTTCATTTCTTGCCTGCTTCCAAGCCATTGTAGAGTCGCGTCAACCAGCTTTTTCCTGGTCGAATCGTTGATAACGTCCTTTGGTAAGTACCGCATTTGGATAGACAAGCACTGCAGCCCTGCCTCGATTCCAGCGATCACCTAAAAATTTACCCTCATAAAACTAAGCTGGGAATATTTTCATTCGTTTTTAAAGAATTTTACTACACCAAAGGTTGCCTCTCTTATGCAATCTACAGATGCTTCGATTCAAAAGAAAAAGTTTGGCTATTTCCTGACGTTGGCTTTCTCATTGCTTATATCATTCTTTGATAATAAGCAATAACATCAAAACGAATCTGTTCAAAGCATTTTCTATCAAATCTTGAACTTATGACTAGTTACCAACAAGCTACAATCACTTTCTTGATACTCTAAAACCGAGGATTTTTACATTTGTTGCCTCGGTTATTGCCTATAATACTGAACAACTTTGGAGTCGGTGTATTCTTCTTATCACATCTAAAAAGTGAAAACAATGCTTATAAGCAATTTATGAATATGTCTAACCTCCGGCTCAGGCTTTTTGTAATTGAGTGGAACTAGATGAGAAAATATTCCCGAGTTTGGGGGGACATGTTTTCCCGGACGGCCTTCGTGTTTTTCTAACTCTTCCAACATACCAATAGTATAGTCAAATACATCGTACAGCATCTGGACACTCGCTGAAAGGTATAAATCATTTGAAATTATTTCTGAGAACAAGTTCACATTATAAATGTTTGTTATACCCTGGTAGTTTACAAAATCAATTTTGAAGTTGTCCTTCATAAATCGGGAAATTTGACGCTTTCGTCCAGTAATTTTCAGGTGAGATATTAGTATAGGTTAATGAACAAGCCGTACATTTGGATAAATCACAGCGGTATAACTCTTGAGGAAATTAAACAAGAGGAGCCGACGGTGTCTGTTCTTCTAAATATTTGTTCTTGTACGAATTTTTTTCCAGGGAGAGGGATTTTGAGCTACGTACATTGTTGAGTACTTCTGTACGTATGATCATGACATCTAATAACTCATATATATGTCCCGTTAAATATGTTGAAATTGAGAATGTTGCTCTTCTGTTTTTAGGCGGCACTAATGGATAAGTTCATCTTGTTAGAGTCATAACACTTGCACCGTGAAATATGATCAAAATAAACAGTAAATATTAGTGTCTATTTATTGACTAATAGTAGATATTACTGAACCAGAACACAGTTCATGAAAACAAAAGGCAATACACAAGAGACTTGACAACTGCCATCTTTATTTCATTTACAATCAAGACAAAAGACACATCTAGATCTAAAATAACCACACAATACACTAGGGAGCGCGTTTAACGAATCTTTATTTATTTGCGCTGCCGTAAAATCAAGACAAAAGACACATCTAAAGCTAAAATAACCACACAATACGCAAGGATTTATCATAGTGCCATGCGGTCTTCATATTCATATCTTTACATTATTCTATTACCGCAACTTTAACATCTATTTCACCCCGACCTGCTTCCAGTCTGGCCTTGTAGCTCAGCTGGTAGAGCATCGGTGTACAAATCCGAAGGTCGTGGGTTCGAATCCCAGCGAGGTCGGAAATTAATTTTTCCGAATTTATTCCTAAGGGACTTCTCCCGGAATTGCCTCCTTCTAAGCACTATATCTTTCTTTCATTTCTATATCGTCAATACGCAAGGAAACGCGTTTAACGAATCTTTATTTATTTGCGCTGCTGTAGAATAGTTAAAATCAAGACACAAGACAAATCTAAAGCTAAAATAACCACACAAGACTAAATGAAACGAGTTTGGAATCTTTATTCTCTGCGCTGCTGCAGCAAAATTTTGACAGAAGACATTACAAGGCTAAATTGAAAAAACTGTAATATCAAACCCACTACGCAAATGAACGTGTTTTCTAACGAGTTTATTATAAGAGCCTGAACTAAAAATCAAGACAAGACGCACTGAAATGACCCGCAAAAATATATAAACAACGTGGTTTCGAACGAATTCTATCGCTCAAAGCTGAGTTATTTGACTAGTCAATATAAAAAAGCGACTTGACAACAACCAGCGGC